ACAAGCGAATCACTCAGCCTTTTCAATGCTAAATTCTATGCTAATCCCATTGTCAAGGGGTGCCTCTGCGGATGTGTATGCCTTAACTTAGCTATTTCAATGCTAAATTCTATGCTAATTCCTTTTAACAATGGGTGCCTCTGCGGATGTGTATGCTTTAACTTTTAACATAGCTATTTCTGTGACTAGTCACAAGCTAATCATTCAGCCATTTCAATGCTAAATTTTATGCTAATTCCTTCGTCAAGGCTCTTTGTTCCTCTCACACAGCTTAAAAGCCGTGATCTGAACGTGGCTCTCTCACTCCAGCGCTGTCCTACCAGACAGTCTCGCCCCCTTCACCTGATGAAGGCCGCTTGTGTTGTGGCCGAAACGTCGTGAGAATATTATTGTGTTATTTTATTTGATCAATTTATTATTTTATTCTCATTCTACGTGACTTTACCGAAAGAACCAAAGAAGAAAAATACAAATGAATGTTAATTTATTCGAATTGTACGGTTTATTAACTACGTTTATTTAATGTTAATGAGTTTGAATCTGATTTAGGGCCTAGTCCATAAGCAGCTTGCCTAAAGCCCACGGCTTTTTGATGATTATTTTAAATAGTTTGTAAATTTGTGTAAATTTATGCACAATACATCGTACTCGGGTCACCGGGTTCATAATGCAACAAGATACAAACACACGTATATTTATTCTAATTTAAGACTTTAACGTAGCTATTTCTGTGACCAGTTACAAGCTAATCACTCAGCCATTTCAATGCTAAATTCTATGCTAATTCCTTTGTCAAGGGGTGCCTCTGCAGATGTGTATGCTTTAACGTAGCTATTTCAATGCTAAATTCTATGCTAATTCCTTCATCAAGGGGTGCCTCTGCGGATGTGTATGCTTTAACTTTTAACATAGCTATTTCTGTTACCAGTCACAAGCTAATCACTCAGCCATTTCAATACTAAATTATATGCTAATTCCTTTGTCAAGGCGCTTTGTTTCCTCTCACACAGCTTAAAGGTCGTGATCTGAACGTGGCTCTTTCACTCCAGCGCTGTCCTACCAGACAGTCTCGTCCCTTCACCTGATGAAGGCCGCTTGTGTTGTGGCCGAAACGTTGTGAGAATATTATTGTGTTATTTTATTTTATCAATTTATTATTTTATTCTCATTCTACGTGACTTTACCGAAAGAAGCAAAGAAGATCAGAGGGCTTGTGATTAAATTAAGTCAACTAAAACTAGAAGTGACAAATCTGGACCCAGATATTTGTGCCTAACAAATTTCTCACTCCTGCCGTAAATGACTTGCAGATTATGATTGACAACTACAACCTTTTTTGGCATGACCGAGGGTCTAAAGGAGGTGGAATTGCAATCTATGTTCGTAATACTATTGCATGTTCACCAGCTCATTCCTTGTTTAAAATGTTGCTTTGAAGGTCTGGCTCTCAGAATAACTCTCCCAAATAATCAACAGATATTGGTAGTGTGCTGCTATAGACCGCCTAGTGGTAAGGATGTTGAAGCTGCGTCTGCACTGAGAGAGCTTCTTTGGGGCCTCCCTAAACGTGAAATAGTTTTAGTGGATGATCTAAGAAAAAAAAAACACCAGCCGTGGCCACAAATTTTGCAGATGAATTTAACCTATTTCAATTAATAAATTTCCCCACAAGACCCAACCTAAAACATCCGGGACAGTCATCTCTGCTTGATGTCCTATTGACAAATGCCCCTCACAATTTCGCACTGACTGGTGTTCCGGGTAATAACCTGAGTGATCACTCCTTCATATTTGGGGTGAGATCATCAGCCAGACCCAAAGCCCCCCTAAATTGGTTGAGAAGCACTCCATGAGGCACTTCAGCATTCAGGCATTTACTAATTATGTGCTTTACTCGGATATTGACAAGGTCTGTGATATCCTCAACCTGACTATGGCTTGGGAGACCTTCAGGTACACGTTTCTCCAAATTCTTAACAAACATGCTTCGTTGGTTAGATTTAAAACTAAAGGCAACCGCCCACCATGGTTTGATTCTTTGATTACTAAGCTCATGAAAACAATGGACAAGGCTTGGGCATGTGTTAAGAAAAGTAATTTGGTCAATGACTGGCTAGAATACAGGATTTTAAGGAATAGATGCATCAAAAAATATGGCATGCAAAAAATGCTTACTCTTCCTCCACTCTCCTGGAATCACATGGAAATGCCAGGATCTTCTGGAAAACAATCAAATGTATCGAAAAGGCATCCAAAACAGATAATCTGCCCATTGAGCTTAACCAAAATGGGGAATATTTTTCAGAGCCCCAAAAAATAGTTGACAATTTTAACCTTCATTTTTCTGAAGCTGGTGACCTTTTTGATAATGTATTTGGAGTCACCCCTGCGCATGCAAATTCCTACACCCCTGTCCAAACATTAAACGAATTTAGTTTCCAGCCAATCCACGAAAGTAATGTTCTGAAACTGCCCTACCTCAAAGGGTCCTCCCCTACCGGAGCAGATAGTATTCCCGTTTTTGCTCTGCTAACTGTTGATCACCTAATATACAAACCTATAGTCCATATTTTCAACCTGTCCATAAAAGAAGCATCAGTACTTTTAGAATGGAAACATTCCTATGTTCGTCCACTTCACAAAGGGGGCCCTAAATATGATCCAAATAACTACCGACCTATCTCAATTTTGTCCCCGTTGATGAAATTTTTTGAAAAATTATAACTACTAAATTAGCAGTTTCCTGTCCGACAACAATCTATTACATCAAAAACAATCTGGGTTCCGAAAAAAATATAGCACATCTGCTGATCACATTGATTATATTGGTAAAAAGACAAAAAAAATTCTGTATCGACACAAGCACTGCTTCCCCCCTATGTTCCGTTTGGAATTGATAAAAGCTACCATACTGCCTCTACTTGATTACTGTGACATCGTATATAAATCAGCCCCCAGTACTGTACTGAAGAAGCTTGACTCAATTTATCACTCGGCCATAAGATATGCATTGAACTGCCCATATAGGACCCACAACTGTGATCTCTACATTGGGTCAAACTTAACATCTCTTAATGTTCGACAGCTTGTGCATCAGATCTTATTTATTCACGATGTACTTACAAAAAAATCCGCAGACTACCTGCTGGATCTCCTCTTTGTTTCGAAGAACAAATGTGACCTCATTTACAAGCTTCACATTCCTTATTGCCATACAAATACTGGAGGAAAGGCCTTTGCTATTGATGCCCCCAGGATCTGGAATGCTATCGCCAATAAACTGCAACTTGGATCACTACCTGTGAGATCTTCACTCAAAACTGCTCTCGAGGAGTTGTACACCCCTAGTTGCCACTGCTATTCAGTGGCCTGAAATCAAATGTTTCGCTCCGGATGACCGCTGCAACGTATGATCTTGTGTTTTGATTATAGTGTGCTGATCTTAAAGGTGCATTGAAAAATGTTGATACTCCTACTGATACTCCTGTTATGGAGTGATTCGTGCAGCCAGCTATGGCTGCAAAGTTTGGTAGTACATGTTATGTACATCGTTTATTGTCAAATTTCAATCACAGTTCCTATGGTAACTATTACATTGCTTTTATAGCTATATTTTGGTGATTTCGAAAACCTTTTGGTTTAGCCATATTTGTTTCTTGTAGTGCAGAGTTAGACTGATAACTTTAATCTAAATCGTCTAATGGTTGTTATTGTTTGACTTGCATCCCACTGGGATTTTTGCACAGCATTGATATACGGTGCTTTTTCTGGAAGACTTTGCGTTTTTTTCTGAATTTTTCTGTTTGTGCGTAGTCACTTTACGATGTTTCTTGTTCATGTTTTTGTTTGTTGCGGTTGCACCCGATTCAAGAGCCGAATTGGCTCACAGGGCTATACCAAATAAATTAAACTGAAAACTGAAAATCGTCTTCTTTATTCACCTGAAGACGATTGCTTGTGTTGCGATTGAAACGTGGTGATATTGTTATTTTGATTCTTTTTTTCTATCTACGTGGCTTTACAGAAAGACCCCAAAAATATGAATTCCTGCAGTCACGAAAGCTTCAAGTCAAATAAGGATTTTTACTGGAACGGAAATTAGCAGTGGCCAACCAGACGTGACGTCACGCTCAAAAGCGCGGTGGAGGGGGGGTTGGGGGAGAATACCTTGGTGACTTGACGTCACTAGCGAGGTACACCTCCCTCCGGCGTCTCACACCGATGAGGTAATGCAGAGTGGTGACGTCAGAGAGCGAGAGAGAGGGGGGTTTGAGTTTAAGTTTAGATTACTTTTCCATTGCTGCCTCTCTGGAACAGAGACTCTTTGAGTGCATGAGCTCAACAACAACGTGAACATTATTTTGTGTGTACACTGTGTATACACAGTGTGTGTACTGTGTACACACACTGTGTAGTGTGTACAAACTGTGTGTATACACTGTGCGTGAGTACACTGTCTCTGTACACTGTGTTGGCACAGTAGGGGTACAGGTGGTGCATCGGCCAGTCATCTCAGTCGACCCATGGCACCTGAGTCTGCCCTGTGACCTGCCGGCGGGCTTTCGACACTTCACGTGGCCTTAACGTGCACATAGCTTCGCACAAGCGCCGTGGTGACGTCACCGCCACTTAGTAGCAAATGGCGGTCGTTGTTCTTGTTAAAAGTGTTTGTGTATACACTGTGTATGTGCAGACTGTGTGTGTGTACGCTCTGTGTGTGAATGCTCTGCGTATACATTGTGTGTACACAATACGTCTACACTTCGTATGTGTGCACACAGTGATCCGAATCAGTCGGGCGGCATTATCTTTTCATCAGCTGCGCAATGCTGTTTGGAAGCTACCTGGACTGTCGCTCCGCATGATGCTTCGGGTCTTCTCGGCCAGTCATGCCCTCCCTTCTCTCGGCATGTGAAACGTGGACCCCTCTAAATGGAACATCTGCGCCAGTTAGAAACATTCACGCTTGCGTGCCAACAATCATATTGAGGGAAGCCAAGTGGTAGCACATTCTCTATTTATTGCAGAGGTTCAAGGTACAAATCCAACAGGCACCCCTGTCTACTCCAGTAACATTAACCAAAATATGCACCGTCTGCTTAACAGTGGATGTAAAACATACTATTGTGTCATTCAAAACACATAGGTCATTGCATGTGGGTGTCATTGTCAAAATTTGGGCAATTCCAAATATCAAAAAATTACACAACTGAGATTAGACATCAATTATCGCCCCCTACTGACAGATTCATGCCCACATGCAGGCTGGTACTCGGCCACCTCATGCCACACAGATGCAGCTGCCACTTGGGGGGTGCTCTTCGAGTGTTTGTGATGAGATATGATCCAAAACTCCGAATTGCTGAGGCAATTAAGCAAGTTTAACACTTAGGCTTTCGCGACCATAAATATAAATGCGTTCTCTCTAGTCGTCTAGCCTAGCCGAAACACAACCCTGACCGTGTAACACCGAAGGCACTGACCGAGAAAGCCAACAACTATCCGGCCACGCAATATCTAGTGAAGACAGCAGCGACAAAGGCGGCGAAGATAACAGCGACGACGATACAAGCCCACTCCCAGAACCGGCAGCCCTGAGCTCCCACTCTCAGCTGCTTTTATGCTACCCAGCACGGCCTGGCTCCGCCCTGGCCACGCCACCCTTCTCGAACCCACTAGCAGGTTCCAGGGGATTTCAGATGGGGTCTTCCGTGACCCTTGCCCCAGTCCCTCTGCCCTGCCAACACACCCATGTATATGCTTACTGGCGTGTGTACTATTTGTCCACCGCAGTTCCTGTTGCTGGACAACAGTCAGTGTTATTACACTACACTAGTATAGCACACCGGTTTGTTGGAGAACAAATCGCGAAGTGGCGGGTTTCACCAAACATTTTAATTAACGCGATATAACCCAAAAAAACCTCTATCATGGGCAATTAAGCACCACAAATGCAATTATTATAACATAGTAAATGCTTGGGAGCTTATTGGCTCTCACTCCTGATTAAAGGTCTACCCAACCTACAGGTCCACAAATACTGGCTGCTCTTACTCTGAAGGTTGAACCTAGGAATTGAGTGTTCAACTTCACATTACTTTCATTAAAGGCCTGTGACAAAGGTGAATCTATTGGAGCTTCATTGTCTCAAGATTACACATCTACCGGGTCTCCATTTGACTTTGAATTGTCTAAGAAGTCCAGCCATATGTAATGGGTTCGATTGAGACGCACACTCAACTTGGAGGCAACACTATTTATCAACACATAACACCAACGTGAACACTATACATAAAGTGGTGACCACCGTTCCTAATCTTACGAACACTCGGGGAACACTACACAGCGTGACCAAGGCAGGTGACGGCTGCCTGGTCATGAACGACGATCGGAGACTTGAGGACTTCTCATGGCGTCTTCATCCCGGAGTAGAAAGCCCAGCAGCCCGTTCACACCCTGCTTATAACCGCTCCGGCGTGGCCGGCTCCGTCCCAGGCCACGCCCCCCTTCTCGATCCTTCGGGAAGGTCTGGGCCCCTAACCACGTGACCCCCAAGCTTCCCCCTGGGGCCCCTGGTTCCCCTTTATCCAGTCACGTGTCCTGTTGGATTCACGCGGAGTACCACGGCCTGACACAACCCCCGTGACACCCGCCTACAGCCCCCATACCGAGCCGATGTGGGAGTGACGTCATATGTCCCTACGCTCGTACAGTCCTGACATAGTAGTGACGTCATATGCCACTACATCACCCCCCCCCCCCCCCCCGGCTGTAACGCAACTATGTAAAAATGGAAAGGTGTTCCTCCCAAAAAGCAATGTCAATAAATAACTAGCCACCGACAATAAATACCGCGAATAACATATGTACACATACCGCGAGGGAGGGAAGGAGGGGAATTAAACGACAACAAATGTACATGAATCGGTTAACTCGCTTACCCCTCACAGCACGGTGCACCCATGCAAATCGCGCGCACACAGTACAATAAAAAAGGCCAGGTTCAGCCAATGACCTCCATGGCATGTGAGCGTGACTGTGTGACCGACGGTGTAGGCAACCAGCAAGGTGTGTGAGCGTCATACTGGCCGACTGGCACGGTCCCTCCATAGGAGATAACGGCGTCGGAGGAGAACGGCTGGTCAACAGCCGCTCCGCACCCAGCAGAGCATCCGGGGAAGCAGCAGCCGATGGTGCCGAGGGTGTTACGCCCTCCGGTCCTGTGGGCGGGACTGCAGAACCACCCTGAGGAACAACCTCAACAGGCGCCCCCCCCCCCCCAGCTCGCTCAGCATACCTGACACTCGGCTCTCATGGATTGGAGATGAAGGGATGTGACGGAGAGTGACAAAAGGCTTGAGGCGGGATGGATGCACAAACCAATTCCGACGGCCGAACCAGATCTTAACACATTGTGGCCGGTCGGCCCGTATCACCTCAACCGACCCCTGCCAGGGTCTGTACAACTTGGGGGATGTGCCCACGGGCATTTGAGGGCAGTGCAGCCAAGCCCTGTCCCCCGGGGCCCACCGTTTACCCGGCACGCGAAGGCCCCTTAGACGTTCGTTGGCCAATTGCCGTGAGCCGTCATTTTATTTCCAAGCCTTGCGTGCTTCCGAAACCCGCTGAAACGCATGGGTTCCGAGATGGTAACCCTCGGCTTCCTAGGAGCCGTATTTAGCTGGATGTCAATGGGGGGGGGGGTTTGGTTCTCCCCCGTACATGAGAAAGAATGGCGAGTAGCCGGTGGAAACGTGCGGAGCCATTCTGTAGGATGCAAGTACCCCTGGAATGTGCAGGTTCCAGTTTTTCTGGGACGCATCGACCTGTTGACTCAACATAGAGGTTAGAGTCATGTTAAGTCGCTCCACCATCCCTTCCGTCTGGGGATGATAGGGCGACGTGCGGACCTTCTTCATGCCCAAAAGTTCACACATCTCTTGCAATAATTTTGATGAAAAATGTTTCCCTTGGTCAGTAAGGAGGCGCTCCGGGGCCCCCTTATCCAGCACGTATCCGTGCAGAAATGCCTCGGTGATGGCGGCGGCCGATTGATTGGGGAGCAGCCAAGCCACAGGCCAACGGGAGAAATACTCCACACCCACCAGCAAATATTTATTACCTCGGGCTGTGACGGGGAAAGGTCCAAGCATATCGAGTGCGACAAGCTCGTTGATACGAGAAACCCGAACAGATTTCAAGGGCGGACAGCATTTAGCAGATGGCGGTTTGTGGCGAGCACACTGCACACAACTCTTCAGGATGTTCTTGACGTCTCCCGCTATTCCGGGCCAGAAAATACCAAGCTCAAGGGTAGCCAGGGTTTTGCGAACTCCCAGGTGCATCAGCCACTCGTGGATGGTCAAAATTAGTCTACCCCTGAGGCTCATAGGTACCATGATACTGTAGCAACGCAAGCAGCCGTCCCAACGCATTAAAATACCTTCCTTGAGAATGACAGGAGCTACCCTGCATTGGCTCGACCCGTAGCCCGGATCACTGACGCGGCGCCACAACTTCAATAGGGAGGCATACCCCGCCTGGAGACGCCTCCATTCGTCGTGGCTCAACCCAAGGGTAGCATCGCGTTTGATGGAATCGCTGGGATTATCAGGGGTGGAGGTCCCCGCCGACGCGACAACCGGGGGAGGCACAGGCACGGTAGTCAATCTGCATCGGCCCGAACCCGAGAGGCACGCACATTCGTCGCCCGGGGGAAGCCGCGAAAGCGCGTCCGCATTAGTGTGCCGTGCACCCTTACGGTAAGACACCCGGAATGAGTAGTCCTGCAGAATTTCCAACCAGCGGGAGAGCTGGCCGGATGGTTGCTCAACACGTAAAGCATACTGGAGGGCGGCGTGATCGTAACGCACCTCGAATCGCCTGCCATACAGATAGGGCCGGTACTGCTGTATGAAGAAGACTATGGCAAGCAGTTCCCGACGCATCACGCAGTAGCGTTGCTCAACCGGGGACAGCACTCTGCTGCCATACACCACGACCCTCTCCACCCCGTTCACCACCTGGGACAACACTGCGCCAATGCCCGTGTTGCTAGCGTCAGTGTCCAGGATGAATGGTAATGAAAAATCTGGGTATTGATGAGAGGAGCGTCTACCAGCCCATCGCGGAGCACAACGAATGCTGCCTCTTCCTCCGCTCCCCATCGAAATTTCAGGCCCTTTGCCATCAGGGCGTGGAGGGGTTTGGCAATGGTGGCGAACCTGGGCACAAAGCGGCGGTAGTAGGATGCAAATCCGATAAAGCTACGCACCTCACCCACCGACTTGGGGGTTGGCCATGTGCGCACGTACGCAGTTTTATCAGGATCTGTCGCAATACCCGACTCGCTGACTATGTGCTCAAGGTACCGAAATGAACGTCTGCAACAGGTGGCATTTCTGAGGTTTAAATTTGAGGTTAGCCACTCACATTTTAAGAAAAACAGCGTTTAGCCGGACTAAGTGCTCATCAAATTTGCGGCTAAACACGATAACATCATCCAAGTATATCAGGCAGGAGTCCTATTGGAGTCCTGCCAGGACCAACTTCATGAACCTCTGGAACATCGCCGGGGCCGAGTGGAGGCCCATCGGAAGCCGGTTAAACTCAAATAAACCTTGCGGCGTACGAAAAGCAGTCTTAGACTTTGAGCAATCATCCAAGGGCAGTTGCCAGAATCCCAAAAGCAGGTCAAGTGTCGAGAAAAAACGCGCCCCTGCCAGCGCGTCCAGCGAATCATCCATACGTGGCAGGGGGTACGCGTCCGCCACAGATACTTTGTTAAGTTTGCGGAAGTCCATGCAAAAGCGTAAACTCCCATTGTGCTTCTTTACGGGCAAAATCAGAGCACCCCATAGGTTCGTGGATGGGGAAATGACGTCGGCGGCCAACATTTCGTCGACCGCCTGGCGCACATGTTCCTTTTCAGCAGGACTCAAGCGGTAAGGGTTTTGCCGAATGGGGGCAGTCACCTGTGTCAATATGGTGGCGCAGGAGGACCGTACGACCAATGTCAAATTTACCCCTGCTGAAAATGTCCCCAAACTCGAGCAACAGCATGCGCAGCGCGGACCTCTGAGCGCTGGACAAGTTCTGATTTTCAGAGCAGAGGGCATCTGCCCAGCTGTCCTTGCCAATTAGCCCTTGGTCCGTGTTCAGCGTGAGCCCTACACCCCCCACTATGTTACCGTCTACCTTGGCGGCCGATGCGTGGGCGAGCACCGTGCCCGCCTGTATAACTGACGCGTCCGGCCCAACATTTAGCATCTGAATGAACGGCTGCTGATCCCACGAGACCAGCGTCTGAGCTCCCATGAGCATCATCCCCCAGATCTCTCTGTTAGAGGGTCCCAACATGACCCCTCCCACGGTGGCCTCCCGATTGAGCGGCTTCCGCAGCCAGAGGGGGACAAGTATTTGCACATCGGGGGAAATCGTAACCGTGACGGTAGCTAACGCTTGGACGGTCGGGTTAACCGCATGCAGACAGGTGAGGGAAGACAAGAACGCAATGCGACGGCCCGAGGGCAATTCTAAACATCCCTGATCTGTCAAAATCTTCAGGGGCATTTTACCGAGAAAGTCTGTTCCCAGCAGACAGGGCACGGCCAGGGAGGCGGAAACACGCACAGGCCCTTCCAATTTAATGTCAGAAATGGACACATCTGCCGGTATCTGGCCAATAATGGCAAACAAACCCCCGTTAGCGGCAAAGTAAGGAACGGTAACGGGGCGCAAGGAACGACAACCCCATGGCAAGATATAAAACAAATCTATTAAGAAATAATGGTGGCGGATGCTCCCGTATCGATGAGCACCCGCACCTCCACCCCCTGTATTGTTCCGATGACTGCTGATGATCCCGCTGCCGCGGCAACAACACGGCGGGCCAACTGCGACCACTGGGCCATCCGGAGCAGCCAGCCTTTACCCAACACAACCGAATCATCACGCGCCGCGATCCGACGAGGGCGAACAACGACCGGACGCGGATCAACACGAGGATGAGATGGGTGAGGTGAGAATGACGGCCGAGTGTGTGGTGCACCGCGACTTGCCATAGGGCCCCAATCTCACCTTTGTTCCCTGTCTGTATCGCCAGGGATTCGTGCTCCTTATTTTGATATCCTGAGGTTGAAGATATAGCTAAGCTTCGAACTTTACTGGTGTAATTTAAAAACCCCAGTCAGCTCGTAATGATGAACTGCGCTTGGGTGGATTTCGATGTCCGGGGGAGGTTCGTGAACCCTGCTGTTTCCGTCTTATGTTTTTTTTTATTGTGGGTTGTTTCCTTTACGGCGGCCTTCTCTTGAAGTCAACTGGGGATTTCACGCAGAATCTCATTAGCCCCCCCTTGGGTTTGCCGTTTTTCTAATATTACATTTTATGACTTCCCAAGCAGGCTTGTGAGTAATTATCCTCCAGCTATCTTTTGTGTGGCAAGGCAGGAGGCGGGGGGGGGGGTGAATCACCTCCGTGCCCCAGGGCTACAACATGATAAAAATTATTACAGAAAATAGGCAGAATCACTTTTCATGCATTTTGTTTAGAAAAGGCACATATGCAACATTCTGTTCAAGTGTTTGTGTGAGATGATACAAAACTTCGGGTTGCTGAGGCGATGAAGCAAGCACCATATAAATGCTAATATTATTATAACATAGTGAATGCTTGGGAGCTTATTGGCTCTGGCTCCTGGTCCGGAAATACTGGCCACTCTTACTCTGCAGATTGAACCTAGGAATTGAGTGTTCAACTTCACCTTATTTTCATTAAAGGCCTGTGACAAAGGTGATTCTATTGGAGCTTCATTGTCTCAAGCTAAGACATCTACCGGATCTCCATTTAACTTTGTATTGTCTAAGAAGTCCACCCACACCTCCACTTCCACAAACTGCTGGGAGTTTCCTCGCTCTGCCTCACAGTCAGAATTCCCCTCCTGCTTCACGTTGCCTCCATCGATGTGAAGGTCCAATTTTGGAGTTGAATCTTCATCTTCACATTTTATTGTCACTTCTTCGATATTCACCATCACTCCTTCACATTTCACCTTCACTTCTTCGATTTCCACCATCACTTCTTCACAATTCACCTTCGCCTCTTCAAATTTCACCTTGATACATTTCATACCGTCCAAGCTGGAATTAACTTCTAGTTCTTTTTTCAGGAGGGATGGGCTCATTGCAGCATTTTGACTTTCACAAGCCAAATTCAGACTCTGCTCCTTGGGGATCTTCTGATGCCTGTGTGTTCTCTGGTGTCTTTGAAGATGTGATGACAGTGCAAACGCCTTCCCACACAGAGTGCACTTGAAGGGTTTAGCTCCCGTGTGTGTTCTCTTGTGATATTTAAAAGCAGATGAACCTGAAAATGCCTTCCCACACACACTGCACTTGAAGGGTTTCTCTCCTGTGTGTGTTCTCTGGTGGGTAAGAAGAACTGATGACTGTGAAAATGCCTTCTCACACACAGTGCACTTGAAAGGTTTTTCTCCTGTGTGTGTTCTCTGGTGTTTTTTAAGATTTGATGACTGTGCAAATGCCCTCTTACACACACTGCACTTGAAGGGTTTCTCTCCTGTGTGTGTTCTTTGGTGTTTATGAAGATCTGATGACTCTGTAAATGCCTTCTCACACATAGTGCACTTGAAGGGTTTCTCTCCTGTGTGTGTTCTTTGGTGTCTCTGAAGAACTGATGACTTTGCAAATGCCTTCTCACACACACTGCACTTGAAGGGTTTCTCTCCCGTGTGTGTTCTCTGGTGGCTCTGAAGAACTGATGACCATGCAAATGCCTTATCACACTCAGTGCACTTGAAGGGTTTCTCTCCTGTGTGAGTTCTCTGGTGCCGTGTAAAATTTCCAGTACGATCCGTGCTGTTTCCATACTGGTCGCATTGTTTCCTTCTTGTACCGAGCTGCGCTGAGTGCCTTTGCTCCATCAGACCAATTCTGCAGAGGAAGCGTGAGAGGAAGCGTCAGCTGCAGTCAAAAAACATATCCACACCATCGAAGTCAGTATCAAGGCACAGAGGAATGCATAAAACAACCGCCATTTGCCACTAAGTGTCGGTGACATAACCACGACGCTTGTGCCAGGCTATGTGCACCTTGAGGCCACGTGAAGTGTTGAATGCCCGCTGGCAGAAGGTCATGGGGCAGACCCATATGCCACAGGTCGACTGACTGAGACGACTGCCCCCTACTGTGCCAACCTGCTGTGCTTTAGCCACCCGGCGCTCTGCTCGTTCTTGTGAGCATCGCTCCTCCGCCCTCCGTTGTTGGAGGGCGACTGCCTCCAACTGCTCAGTAGCGTCCTTCACGAGGCCAATCTTGACACCGCTGGTAACAGTCATGGGAAAGTCCACTCAACTCCACATCCTACTGTACCACATCACTCCATCTCTTCTCTAGCCCGTGCCGCGCCCGTTTCGCTGTTTAGGCATGCGGTGGCTTGGCATGCGGGCTACATGGCCCAGCCAACGCAGCCTTGACTGCCGGAGCTCACCGATGGGACTTTGTCCAGATCTTTCAAGGATTTGTGAGCTCCTCACACAATCCAGCCTAGTTAAACCCAGGATGGATCGTAGGCAGGCCAGCCTAAATGTTTCTAATCGGCGAAGATGTTCCATTAGGGGGGTCAACGTTTCGCAAGCGTAGAGAAGGGAGGGAATGACCGTGGCTGAGAAGACTTGAAGCTTCGTGCGGAGTGACAGACCAGGTAGCTTCCACACAGTGTTACGCAACCGATGAAAAGATAATGCCGCTCGACTTATTCTGAGTGAGACCTCTGCTGTCAAACCGGAGCCGGTCATGAGCACGCTGCCCAGGTATGAGAAACTCTCCACTCTCTCCATAACTGCCCCATCATCAATTTGGAGTTGTTGGGATGGAGTGTCCGATAGTACAAAATACCCAGGCAGGTGCTTAGTTTTGGTGGGGCTGATGGTAAGGCCCCACCTCTTAGTGGCAAGCTCCAGGTTCAGCAGCAGCGCTTCCAACTCGTCCTCTGAGTGAGCAGCAATTACCAGATCATCGGCATACCTAATATGGTTGAGCAATAGGGAGCCATCCATTGACTGCACCTGGGAATCTATCAGTCTACCATTATATCTGTACCAGATGGAAATTTATCTGGTACAGTTATTGAAGGCTTCACGAACTACGTGATCGAAATAGATGTTAAATAATGTGGGAGCCAGAAGACATCCCTGTCGCACCCCAAGGTGTACAGGGAATGGTTCCAACTCCCAGCCACGTAGTTTTACCCGGGCCCGCTCACCATCATGAAGGTCCTTAATGATCGTGAACTCCGAAAGCACAAAGAACTACCCAGAGCCCAGGCCTACTGATGGTATCATATGCCTTGACCAGGTCAATAAAGCAGAGATGTAGGTCTTGTTGGAATTCCCTACACCTCTGCTGTAGAAGACAGACAGAAAATATGGCATCTGTGCAGGGCCGCCCTTTCCTGAAACTGCATTGGGGCTCCGCAAGCCTCTCCTCAGCATGCCTAGCAAGGCGATGTTGAATAATCCTTGCCAGGACCTTTCCCGCACACTGAGGAGTGAGATGCCCCTGTAGTTATTACAGTCTGTGCATTCCGCCTTCTTAAAGAGGGGGACCATCAGGGCATCCTTCCAGTCCTGCGGAACCCATCCAGTTGTCCAGACTGTTGTTATGATGTCATGTAGGGCAGTCCGTGCAGAAATGCCACCTTCCCTCAGCATTTCGCTTGGGAGATCATCTCTGCCCGGTGCTTTTCCTGTTCTCAGACTCTGGATCGCCGTCAGTACTTCCTCAACAGATGGCACCTTAGCCAGCCACTCTCAGGGGGTGACTTCTTCCAATATTTGAGGCACCGCAGCCTCGGCAGGGTCATCCCCACTTTGTCCCACATTGTTATGCAGGCTGAGGGATGTCCCTTCCCCCAGGACCTCACAGAAATGCTCAGCAAATCTGTAAACCTGTTCCTGGGGGTCAGAGATTGGATCACCGTTCTTTCCCCTAATAAAGGTAATAGGTGTGGTGCTGCAGGTTACTTTTTTATGGAATTAAAGAGCGATTTGTGATCGCGGGCCATTGAGGCAGATTCCATCTCCTCAGCAACCCGCGACCACCACCCATCCTTGCAGTGCCTCACGGCTCTCCGAACCTCCGAGCGAAGGCTGCGGTAAGCCTCCTCATTCTCTGACGTGGGATTCTGTAGCCGATGACAGTGGGCCTGTCGCTTTTACTCAGCCAGCTTGAACACCTCCTTTGTCAGCCAGCGTCTCTGGGGAGGTCTGGATCGTGTACCCAAAGCAGCCATTGCAGCTGCATGAGCCACAGTCCTAAACCTCGCCCATTTCCCCACAACATCAGGAGGGGTGGGGGACGATGCCAACCCCAGCCGCAAGCGATGATTAAATTCTCGCTTGCAACTTTCATCAGCTAGCTGAGACCACGCCACTAAGGGCTTGAATGGGGTCCTGAGGGTACACCCACCACTGAAGTGGAAGAATGGCAGGTGAATCTTACAGATGACAAGTCAATGGTCAGTAGGCAGATCAGCTCCACGGTAGGTACTGGTGTTAAGGACATGGGCCTGCACCCGCTGTTCCATCACTATGTAGTCCAGCAGATGTTCTTGCTTGGACCCGGCATGCATCCATGATGTTGTGTGGATGCGCCGATGCCGGAACAGCGTGTTGGTAATTACAAGTCCATGGGCTGCACAAAAATCCAGCAGCCTCCTGCCGTTGTTGTTGAGCTGATCTGCCCCATGCCTTACAATCACTCCAGACCAGTGCCAGCATCATGACCAACTCGGGCACTGAAGTCACCCAACAAGATTACTCTATCACGAGGGGCCAGTTTAGCTAGCACCTGTGACAGGAGGTCATGGAAGGCTTACGACTCATTGGCCTTGCCTGCATCCCTCCAAAGATGTTCGTGTTCAGTGGGGGCATAAGTAACCACGACCACCACTCCTCGCCTCTGGTTGATGGGAAGGCGAGCCCAAAGTAGTCTGGGGCTTCCAGCTTCCCACACCTCACCGCCATGCTCCCATGCCCCCTTGATTCTTTTGTTCAGAAGAAAAGCCACTCCCTGTTGTTTGGCAGTCTCCTGCCCCGAGAAGAGGACTGTCCACCCCTCATGGTGGCAGGAGCCAGAACCGGTCCACCAGACCTCCTGAATACCACAGAGATCCAAGGAGTACCGGTTCAGCTCCTGACAGACGAGTGGCAGCCTCTTCTCCGCAGTGAGCGTTTGAACATTCCACGTGACCACAAGTAGTGGTTTTATGTTGTTTCTGGAAGAGCACCGAGGGTAAAGATTCAGTCTCCTGGCTCCGCCAAATGGGGTTTGGCCAGGAGACGTCATAGATGCCTGTCCCCCCGGGGCCTCTGGCACAAAGCTTATAAATTACAAATTTTCGTCATGGTTTAGCGGTAATTAATTGAAGGTGGAGGGGTTACCAGCCCCTCACACCCGTCCAAAGGCCCCTTTTGGCCGCTGTGGTGGTCACAAATGGCATGAGGGGAAAGGCCAATCGGAATTGGCCCTCCCCCCACAGCACTGCCAACAACAGCGTTGCCCGTCCGGCACCACGAGGAGGTAAGGGGGTTGTTTTGCCGGACACAATCACACATGACTTACACGTCTATATTTATTCACATATTCATGATATAGTGAAAAAATATTCCACAATTCATTATACGGGCTGTTAAGGCACACAATGAGAGGGCCAATGGTCATAAATATTCCTGGATGCTCTAGTATCTTCAAAATGAATGTTTACCCAAAACTCCAAGTACACAATTTCTGCTGCCTAGCTACGAAAGGAATATTTAAGAAAATTTCAGGGTGTTGAAAATAATACTATTTGTATTATGCAGAAATGCATAAATTAATGTTCAATCGAAAATTCGAGGTGTGAAGCCAGGCTCACATTTGCTTGAATGCTCGGATGAACAGGTCTAACTTCAGCTGCTTATGTGCTGAGATATTTTCCTGACTGTTTCCATTCTTACAAAAAGTTCCAGAGGAAAATTAAAATAAACTATTCTTTTGATTTAAGCTCCTTGTTCAATGGTTAATATACTTTACTGCAAATACAAACTTGACACTGTCACACATTGGCATGGTAAAAATGTGGTGGTGTGTCCAGAACCATGCCTGGCCATCTTTAGCTGCTCAGTATTAATGCTTCCTCAAAATATTACTGTCCTGGTCAGTCAGTATGCACTGCTGTCGTGAAAGCAGGTACCACCAAAGTCAGTATGCACTATACTCTTTGGTTCTATTGGGTAAAGTCACGTAGGTGAAAATAAAATAACAAAAAATCACGACGTTTCGGCCACAACACAAGCGGCCTTCATCAGGTGAAGGGACAAGACTGTCTGGAGGACAGCGCTGGAGTGAGAAAAGCCACGCTTAGATCACGACCTTTAAGCTGTGTGAGAAGAAAACAAAGCGCCTTGACAAAGGAATTAGCATATAATTTAGCATTGAAATGGCTCATTGAAATAGCTAAGTTAAAGTATACACATCTGCAGAGGCACCCCTTGACAAAGGAATTAGCATAGAATTTAGCATTGAAATAGCTGAGTGATTAGCTTGTAACTGGTCACAGAAATAGCTATGTTAAAGTCAGAGCATATACATTCACCGAGGCACCTAGTACAAATCAAACAGGATAATTTAGCGAAACACAACCACGCTCAGATCGCGGACCTACTTTACTTGTAAGTAGGTAGACAAGGATATCGTATCAAAAGGAATGGTTACTCTGACCGTACCATCCGCCAAGCTGTTTCTCCCTCCATACAGAAACAACCACTTGATACTCTGGTCAAAACCATCACACTACCATATATAGCAGGCGTTACTAAAAAGATTTCCAAAATTC